CTCTCTTAACCGATCGTAAGGCCGCGCGAGTCTTCTAGTTTGAAAGGGCTGGGGCTGTATGGTGCAGGCTTGATGTTTTACTTTACTTGACGATCACAAGTCGGGGGCAGCATGACGTACGACAAGTCCCGGTCCTGGATTCTCCACCAGCCAAGGCTCTTCTGCACGCTGTATGTTTTTGGCGTAGTGCTCAAACAGATGGCCGAGGACAGCGAAGGCGAGTCCGGGGCTGTAGTCGTCCCTAAGCTCCATCTTCGTCTGTAGTGTGCACTTTCAGGCGGCCGCAAGTACTTCTCCAGCGTCCCGCTCCTCAGCTGCATAGCTTGGCGTTGAGCGGCTCAGGGCCTTCAAGGAACAGGGTTCTTGAGCTGTGCCCTTTGGATCGACACCCACGAAAGCAGAGAGATCGACAGGTGGGTCAATCATGTAGTATCGAGCGACTAGAGGCTTGCGATGACGACTGTCATGCAGGATAATGATGCTTCTGATGATGGGCCATGATGTGATGATTCTTGTAATGCTGACGATGCTGATCACGCGGATCATGATGCAGGTGCAGTCGCCCTGTCGCCCAGTTGGCCCGCCCAACTCTTTTCTTAGGGATCGGCTTCTCCCTGCGTGATCATTCAAGTACATGTGTGCAGGTACGAGCGCAGACGCACACAGACACACACGGACACACACAGAGACACAGAACACTGGCGCAGAACAGTATAGGTGTGCGTGTGCGAACGAACGGTGGCGCTGCCGATGAGCGAGCGATGTATGACAAGTGATGGAATGACTGCACAGGGAACGCATGAATGGCGGTTTCACGTGCCGTACTACACCCAGCAATCGCAAGAAGATTTCACACTTCAAATTCCACTGCAGTTCGCTATGGGTAAGGCAAGCCATGTACACCCTTCTCTTGCACAGCACGCTCCTGGATGCTCCTGCCATGGTTCTGAGCCTCTTGGATGCAACCTACTGGATACTCTGGGATGTGTCTTGGAGCAAACATGAATTTGCTAAAGCTGTGAGCCTAAGATTGTTGCCTGATGGATCGCCGATGGCTCCGAACAATCTTTATGGGTCGGTTCCACGCGAGACTGCCAGGTGAGCTCGCGGAGATCCCGGCAATCCTGCGACTTGGAAGCAGCGCACTTGACCAAGCGCCTCATGTGCTGGCGATGGAAATCTAGGATCGACGAGTGACCATGGGGTCGATTGTGCGAGACTGCTTTGAGGCTGAGGTACAATGAGGTCATCAGCAAAGCTATAGGGGGATGGTGTCACTGAGCTTGTTTTTGGAGTGCTTCGGGGTCAAGAAGTCGTTCGACGATGGCTGTGAAGTTGGTGATTCTCAGGTTTATGCTCTGCATCTTCATTTCATCGCTGCTGCTGCTGAACATGCGACGAGCTGTCGACAGCAAGCTTTTCCTTTTTGCGGTTTCGGTTTCGTGTCCGCTGTTTGCATAGGCATCGGAACATCGCTGTCGGAGTGCGACTGTGAAGACAGCTGAGGTTAGTCGGCATCATGTGTGAGGCCGTGAGACAGTGCCTCATCTGACAGTGTTGACAACCAATTTAAGTCTCCTGCAGGTTGCCAGCCAGGAAGTAGAAAGATTAGCATGCTAGCTGCGTGTGCCATGAAGGGCAATCTTCTCTTATCGCCGTAAGCTTTGCAGCGTTGCCCGCACTTCAATCAGCCGAATCCCGGCCTTGCGGCGCTCGTCTGTGGCTGAGTTGTGCTATGCTTGGCTGCCTTCTTCAGAGTCTGAGGAACTTCGTAACAGAGACCGCAGCAGTCGAAGAGAAGTTCATGACGGAGCCCCTGCAGCACCAAGAGGGCTCTCCCGAAATGCAGAGGTCATGTTTCGTTGTGCCAATTTTTTTGTTACCGATCGCTGGCAACCCAAGGAGCGGGTCTCCAGCCTCCTGGCCCAGTTCGACTGGGAGGATGCGACGATCACCAAGGACCCCCCTGCCCTTCAAGTCTTGGGGAATGGGCGCTTCGGAAGCCAGGACCGATTTCTGGCCATCATGGACAATGAGAAGGCTGCAGAGTACCTGCAAGAAGCTGGCATCGATGTGGTGGGCTACCTGTCTGCACCCGGCAGTTCTCCCAACAAAAATTCGAGCGATCTGAGATGATCTGAGCTCACGCGCCGGAGCTCCACAGGTCTCGTGGACCTTGCCGAATACATCTTCCAGTCTGATCTGCATGGGTATGAATTCAACCGAAAGCTCAGCTTCAACGACTTCATGAAGCTTCTTGGCATGCGGGTAGACCTAAGCCAAGTGAGAATCATCTGCGCAGCGCGAAGTTCGGAGGTTGCTCCTCTCGCTGCGGGGCGGGAATGATGTCAAGCTGAAGGACATCATCGATCTCAGGAAGTACATGAACTCACACACGAACATGTTCAACAGTCACATTGCCAAGATAGATCCTTGGCTGCATTCCGCTTTCCTTAAAAGCCTAGGAACCCAGATAACTTCACTGCTGACTTCAGGAAGGCCGCCTGCGGCAAATTGAGCGCAAGCTACCACCACTCAGCGGTCAACATGCTGCACGGCTGCGAGGGCCATCGGGGCATTGTTGAGTTTGGCTTGATTGCTGCAGTTGGCTTCACAAAAACCTGTCAACCTCGTGCGTCAACCGTCCCGCTCAAGCTCAGTTTCCAAGCTTTAGTGACTCGGGACCTGAGGCCAAAGCAGCTTTCCGAGAAGGCAGCGGTGGAACGAAGGCACTGTGCCGTGCAAGTCCTTCTAGTTTCTGCTTGGTTGCTCTTCGCAGTGAGGAATTCATCGACTTCCCGAACGAGAAAGCCGTGCCCTGCATTTACATCCCCTAAAGCCTAAAGAGCTTAGGCCTAGGCCGACAGATCTGATCTGCTTGTAAGTGAGGTTCCAGACTGTCAGCGGAGTGGCAGCAATTTTACGTTCGATTCCGACACAGTGATGCTCCTTAGCTTGAAGAGGGCAACCGCCGTCGCCGAGTTGTTGCAGCTTTCGCCCCTTGCAAGTGTCGTATCATTGTCATGAATCGTATCGTTGCATGTGGTCATGCTTGCTTTTGCTTCCACCTTAGCTCGCTCTTGTGCGTGTGCATGCGGGCGCCAGGTTTCTGGAAAACGGGGCCAGCCTCAGCCCTGGCGGACCCGGCGGCTCCGCCCCTTCTCTTGCATTCGGGGGGCCCCTCCTTCGGCAAACTACTACCATGTACTACAATAATTATACCAGAATCTCCTATAATGTACTGCAACGTAATACAATGTACCGTACTATACAGTAAACCTCAGAAAGTTGGAAGCCGGATTAAGGCCAAATCGTGCTGGGATTCCCTATGCATTACTCTTAAGGATTGAGGCTCTGGGGGTTTCCAACTTTTGGGCTTCTACTATACCCATTATAATCTACGAAAATGTACTATGATCTACTATACCCTAAACCCTATGACCCTATGACGAAGGGTCCGGGCCTCCTCGCCCTGAGGTGTTCTTTCCGCAGCCATCCTACGAGAGCTGCGAGAGCTCCTCGGCCCTCCACCGGGCCGAGGCCAAGAGTCTCCCAGAGAGTGCCACAGCATACCCTGCAGCAGACTATATGTATAGTATTGCATACTATAGTATATTATAGTCTAATATTTTGTATATACACATATAGGTGTACTGTATATGTATATGTATAGCAAAAAATGTATGTGGGATTGTTTGACCTCGGAGCGCTGTTGGCTTCAGGCGCTTCTGGTGGATGCTCTCAGAGGATGCCGCCTGAAGCTAAGAGATCACGGAGCGATTGCGGAGACTGAGACCTTCAAGATTTTTCGGAGGAGAAGCGATGCTGCAGAAAGAGTCCTTCGGAAAGGATGTTACCAGAGCCCCGTGCCCTGGCAGCAACGAGCGGCACAGGTTCTTTGCTTCAAGTTCCATGCCAGCTCCGCGGGCAGATAGCGTGGTTGAAATCCGGAAATCCGCAGACATCGTCGTCGCACTCGAGGCGCTCGCCCTTTCCGGCACTTCGAAAGCTGGATCAAAAGAAGCGGCTGGGCAGTGGGAAGAGTAGCTCTCAGATGCGACTGCATGGCCAATGTGTAAAATAAGAGGAGAGGAGAGTAGTCTGATGATGCGGTGGCGATTGTGCCAAGGTCGCAGACAGATTCTGACTGGCGACTGTCGCTATAATAGCACCCTGCCCACCATTCCCTCAACGGGGAAGGGAGGTGCAGAGATCTGCTCTGTGGGAGTGTGTGGGATAGGACAGACTGAAATACTTCATGCACGCAGCACTCGGACATCCCACACACCCCATTTTCTCCAGGCAAGATCTGGCAAATGCAGACTTGCCCGGTCGTTGGTTGGATGGCCGGGCAAGGGGCGGAGAGGATGCGTGGAAGACGGCATGGATGTCCCCCTTGCTCTGGCATTCTCAGTAGAATCAATAAAAGCAAGCAGCCGCATGCCAGGGCCCATGCCGTTTGCCAGCATCTGGACGCAAACGTGTCCAATTCCAGCCTGACATCTCGGTTCCCATTTTGCAAAGCCGGACTCCGACGCTCCGACGCTGACGAGTCGTCGTCTGTTATGAACTCGGTGGGGCATCGTGGGGATGCACCAGCCAGGGCAGGAAGGTTTGTAAACTCACGAGGCATCATGACAGGAAACTTACGGCATCTTCGCAACGCGTCTGGTTGATGTAGCTAAGCAGTTGCTGAAGCCTCGAGTTTGCAGATCCATGCCGCCACAGTGTTAACTCTTGGCTTCCAAGACTTTTCTTACTGGCTCCCGTCCGCGGCACCCTTTCTGTGATTGAAGGCTAAAGAAAGATGGCATCTGGGCAGCTGGGCGGAAGGTTGCCAGCGAAGCCAAAGTCCAACGCCGCCGAAGATATCATTCCCCAAAGGAATGAGTCAACCTGCGTGATCGGGCCTGGCCCGAGATAAAGCTTGGGGACTTTACTCTAAGGCTGCACTTTGTTTGCCCCCCCACTCCCACACACTCCCAGTCCCGAGAGCTGAGGTTGGCCATGCTTGAGGCTTCAGGTGCCCGGCCGCAGGGGAGCTGGGGGGGCTGGACGGGACGGGATGGGCGTAGAGCGTACAGTACGGTTGTTCCAACTCGGGTTTCACATTTCGAACATTTCGAGATGGAGCGTGTGCAAACGGACCCTATGTACAACAACTGCGCCAAATGCTGCTGAGATGGGGAGACGAATAACAAGCGGCCTGAGATACGTTGTCTTTGCTAGGCTGCCCATTGCCTTCCTCCGGCCTCGAGACAGACAAGGAAGCGCCATTTCTAGGATGTCGGACGGTGTTTGGTCCGGATGCATGGCACGGTCTGCGTCTGAATGCATGAAGTCGAGAGATTCAAAGTGCCCCTTAAGTGCTTTCGATTGCCAGACGCGCATCCTGGATGTCGCGACGGCACTGCACTGGGCGCAAGCGCCGAGCCGACCGGCTTGAGCTCGATCCGGCGGGGTGCTCGCAAGTGCGTGGGCCAGGTGGTCTGGTCTGTGGATCGGCGAAATGTGCTACGCTCGAGGCTGCTGCAGCTGTCTAGTTCTGATCTGAGAGACCTCTGCCTGCACCTCCCCGCTCAGTCTAATGAACTCTACTCGTTGCGGTTTGCTCCCTGCACTGTCAGCAGATGCTTCCTTGACTGAAAGTGTAGCATGACATGCACCTGGGTGCCGTGGTAGGTGGCGATGCTCACGCGGGGCTGAGGCTCGTGGATGGCTACGCTCGTTTTAATGCTTTGGGGCTTCCCTTGGCGAGGGGTCTCAGGGCTCAGTGACCTGTGCCAGTCCAGAGTCTGGCACGCCAGGGGAAGCTGGGGTTATTCCGGATCCGAACTCCCTTCTTGCAAGGCTTATCCTGGGTCTTCAAGGCGATCCGCAGGCGACGATGATGTCACGTCTCCCATTGAGTGTTTCAGGCTAGAACAAAGACAAGGAAAGGGGTGCCATGGGGTCCCTGGATTCTTTCCTGCTGTTTTGCGACTCCGGCATCTCGATGCATCCCTGTTCTCTGCGTGTGACATCAGATTTGTGCCACCCTGGACCTTGTCATCGCATGTCGCTAATGCACCACAACCCGGTGTTTGTGCAGGGTTGGAAGACAGAGTGACTCTATGGGTTGATGCCGCAGGAGAGGCGTTTAGCTTATGAATTCGGGGGCAATTCGGGATGTTGGATCAGAGCCCCGCAAGAGCCCACACAGCCCGACGAGCCTCGGTGAATCTCGGTGAGGTAGACCGTGCGACGGAGGCGCTAACAGCCGTGCGGGCCATGGAACGCTCTCCGATTGAAAGCATCCGCAGAGTCTCCTGTCAGAGCTATCGAAGTGAGAAGTGAGGCAGAGTACAGCAATCAACACGGCTGTCGAGACTCAGTCATCTAGTCAGAATCTCAAGAGTCCTCTGTGGGAAAGGCAGCCGCTGAAATGGACGTCTCTCAGCAACCTTCTTCATCCAGCAGGCACTGGAAGAGCTGCGTTCCTGTGGCACTTGCAGCGGATTTATTATGGCACGGAATTCACATGCTGCGCAGTCGGCGGAGCGGCCGCGCTGGAGTTTCCAACTCAGGATGGTTCATCAACTTCCATCGACCCTGAGAATCGAAGCTTACAGTCGCCCCCAATGATCATCTCGAGAGCAGCCAAGGGGAGCGCCGAGTACTGGCGCTACTTCGGATTTCTGGCAGACACCGACTTCGACTGCGAGACAGAGACGGCCGGGGACGCAGCCTCTTGTGAGTTACGAGGGCAGCTGGCAGCATTTTGCAAGTTCTTTCAGGTGCGGTACATCGAGGAACAGATTCGCCGCCGGCGAGAGCCCTCGTCGATTGCCGAGGCCGTAGCTGCGTTGCCAGCCACAGGAACAAGTCGCCCAGCCCAGCGCCAGGTAGCTGCCAACGCGCTGTGCGCCTCATCTGGCAAGGCAACCGCTTTTGTCCATTGAACTTGGACAGTCTGGCCTGTCATCGCCTGCTTCCTCTTGGCAGGACCTGATGCTTGTCGGTGCTGGGTGGAACGAGCAAAACGGGCTGTTCACTGTCGAGGCAGCTCTTGCAACTTGCCGCTCAGTCGGTCTTTCCGCCTTGTGAAGCGCGGAAATTTCGAGGCGCAGCTGCCAAAGGTGCCAAGCTCTGCGACAGGCCAGGCGGCCAGCTCGAAGAAGCGGAGCCGGGCCATTGCGCTTCTGAGGGTTTAGGGTTGGGAAGCTGAATCGCTGAATCTGGTGCTGTTCCGTTCTGTCATTCCAGGTGGATCTGGCGCTGTTCCATTGAGGCCTGCGTTGCAATACATAATCCAGGCAACACGCGAATGTACTGCTAGTGAAGAAGCTGCTACGGTAGTGCGCATACCCGTGAGTCAGCTTCGGCGTGTGAAGTTTCCAGTCTTCACACTCTTCCTCTTCCGGGTCTACAGAGGTTGCAGTAATTGCTTGTTTTCGGACTGTACATGGATCGCGCCTCATAGATTGCTTCCTAGTGTCACAGTCTTCCGAACATTTTCAATTGGTATTAGCCGTGCACCTAGACCCTCATTGCATGAACTGTCCATGCGAAAAGCCTGGTTCACTTCCTGGAACACAGTTGTCAATATGCGTTGTCATGCCGTTGACACACAACCTGAACAAAAGAGACTCCAGCGACTCTAGCAAGACCTGTCTTGTTCTGCTGGCATCTTTCTCCACTCGCTTACTTACTCCTCGGAGCTTAGCAAGATTCCCGTTTGCGATCCTTGGGCAACTCTTAGTACCTAGTGCAGTTTCGAATACAACACGATTCGCATGTCACGTATCACATGCCTGCAGTACAAGTTATTGCAAGTCAAAGAGTTCAAGCAAACCATTTAATGATTAATGTGTGCAATCAACCTCACATGTCCTGGTAGCCCACATCTTGTGTGCCGCGAGCTGGGTTGTAGTGTCGACATTCGAGATACCTGCAGTGGACGGCGTTTCCCAGATGGGATATTCCGGTTCATGGCCAGGAAGGGCTTGAGCCACACAAGGCATCCCGACTAAATGTGCCCATCGTCACGAAAGTAGGAACACGCGGCCTTCTTGGGCACGGTGCATTCCAAGGAGGCCGGTCTCACCATACGGACTGCCAGGCTGGTCTTGAAGTTTGCCCACAGCTGGAGTACCTACGTGCTGGCCTCAACCATGTTTTGGCGCGAGCAGGTCTGCAGTGCTTCAGAAGCAATCTCGGGCTCAGATCTGCATAAGATGTCTTGCTCTGCTGGCATTCTGATCGGTGCGTATCAAGATTCAACCGACATGCATGATCTCGAGCGTTTGACCTTATATGTGTTGTGGCGTGCTTTGGACATCGAGTCTGAATCTCTGGGCATGCAGGAGCTGACTGCTTTCTTGACCGACGGCACCTGCGATGCTGGTGGCTGGATCCCGAGAGCCGACACATCAGTGCTTGGGCTCACGGCTACGGCTGTAATTGCGGATGATTGTTCGCACCTGGCTTCAACACCTGCAGGCAAGTTGCGCAAAGTCCCGACGCTCTATGGCGTCTGGGCAGTCCTCGCTCGGATTCTGAAAGCGGCAGAGAGCCGTGAGGTTTGAGTTTGCATCGTTGCCTGCAAGACTGGGATTGATGGCGGATTGCCACGCCGCCTTCTTGTCCTCCCTGCGCAGCCAGAGCAAGCAACGTCCGTTTCGTCGTTCTTGTCATCTGCACAACGAAGCCCATGTTGCAACATCCAAGTCTAGACATGTGCCAGGCAACCACGCCGTCTCAACACCGGCACCTCTTCGTGACAGGGGCCAAGTGATGCGATGAAGCTAGGCTAGACGGACCTCCGGCATTCCGCAATTGAAGTTGCTGGGCAGGCTTCGGCGGGCAGGGACCCTCGAGAGCCTGGCTTAGGCCTTGGGAGCCTGTGACTTTGGAAAACTCTGTAAAACTCGCTGTCTTGCACGGGCTTGGACACCGTTGCGCCTGATCTTACCGCAAGGGCAATCGACTGAAGCTTCTCGGCCCAAAGTAGGATTTCATCCATGGCAGGTGGGGGCAACAACTTTTGACAACAGAGGCAGACACAACCTCGGTGTTCCGTGGCCGTACACCGTTTCGTTCGGATTGTAGCATATCACGCAAAGCCTAGTGGATACTCAGTGATACCCATGCCTCGTTCCGATGGCCCAGCTGGACACAGGGAGCAGAAACAGGATGTGGACATCGTCATGTGCGAATCCAACCATATCATACCGTAACTGGTTACGCAGCCCTTTTGCCGGTCTTGACGTTGCCCGGCGGTGATGGCAGAGCAGGTGGGGATCACTATGAAGAATTACGTCAGGGCTCTGCAGAGAGCCAGGGGCCGCGTAAACTCGAGCTTTGCTCAGGCCAACTCCTTGCTGACGGTGCTGCCCCCGGGTCCCAAGGCCGGGCAGAGGGGAGCCGCCAAAGCAAAAGTGTTGCCAGAATGGCAACCTCGGCCTTCTCATTGAAATCTCCTTAGGTGGAGGCTGGAGCTGATGATCTGGTCTTCGACATCGGCCTGCAAGATGCAAGTGTCCGGGCCCCAGCCTAAATCGGCAGTGCTTCTGCGAGCTTTCGCTGGCCAAAACTACGTGGAAAGTAATTGTATCTGCCATTGCTGCGCAAGCATCCTCTTCAGGATCCTGCTTCGGCTTCCACCGCTGCGACAGCTGCGGACTCTTCACGGCACAGCCGCCAGGAGGGCCCACCGAATGCCGTAGAGACTGCTACCTGTATAAGGAGCTGGCTGAAGCTCCCCGTCCCGGCAACAACGGATGTTTCGCAGCTGTCGCGGCGGCCAATCAGACCTTTCCTTGCAGGCGCCTCCCGCCATAGAAGTCGGCGATGTGGGGGACATCGGTGTCCTCGAGGCTTCCATCCTCTGTGCAGAGCTCTGTGCGCTGTCTGTGCGAGTCTCACCTCACAGGGTTCGGAGTCCGGTGAGAGCGTCGCCTCTGCCGACTTGCTGCAGCTCATCCAGCAGGCAGTTTGCCCATAGCCGTAGCGCTGCAGTAGCACTTCGGGAGCATGAGCGGAAGGGAGGCGGTGCTAGCTTCAGATAGAACTGGCAGGGCTTGAGTTCGGGTTATACGGAACTGAATCTGAAACTTCACGAAGCCGTATCGCATTCTAATTCATATCCCAACTTCACGCTGTCTCGTGCAGCATGGATGTACGCCGATAGGTCACGCACCAGCTTGTCAACTTTGCTAGGCTCTGCTTTAGTTTTGCCCGTTTCATAGATGCTTGTAGGTTTGCAACTGAAAGTAAGCGGTTGACACACGAACGTCAACATGTTCTTCGCGGCACCTGAATTGGTCGTTCCTTTGCAGCGCTGACATGTCACACCGACGTACTTAATGGTCGGTTAAACGCTCGGCAAACTATGCAGTAATCCAACTGAAAGCGCCTCAATCGAATGTTACTTAGATTTTCCGGCAGCCGTAGCGAAACCAGAGTCAGACATCAACATCTCTTTTGTACGGCGCAAACCCAGGCAGAACGATTCAATTTGTTTTTCAATGCCTTCAAAGAAAGCAGCGTACGGTCCACAGAAAAATGCAATGCAGAATGTCATTGCATATTGCATGCCTGGTTCTCTCTCACCTCCCCTCCCTCTTTCCCTCCCCCTCCCTGCGTCCCTTTGTCTCGATGAGCATGGAAGCCTCCACGTGCACATGATATGTTGGTTGTCTGATTTTTGGCCTTCGCAGGCCAGTGAGGTGGAGATCAGCTCGGACTCCGCTGACTCTCGAAAGGAGGCCAGGGTTTTGCTCGAGGGGTGTGGAGGGTTCGAAGAGTGGCTGGTTGTGGCTTTGAGTATCTTTTGAATTTAAGATGGTGGGACTGGGTCCGTTTCTCACCTGGCCCTGGAGCCCTGAGCACTCCCACCGTCGCTGAGGCCCCTACCCAGCCCGCTCCGGAGCCGGAATCAGCGGACTCACCGGCTATGCCCTCCGGCAAGGCGGCGACGATCTGCGGGTAGATGTTGGTATGGAAAACGGATGTGCTGAGGGGCGGTTGTCATTGAGGAGGCCTTTCGGAATCGGGTCGTTGCCGTGCCGTGGTGCAGCCTGAAAGATTGAACCTGACACCATCATTGCCTTCCGGTCTTCATTGTGCTCACCTGTCAAGTCAAGTTGGTGCACAGGCTGTGGCAGAAGTCGAGGTTGCCGGTGCAGCCCAGCGGGAAGGAGTCGGGCACGATGCTCGTCCCAGGGAGGAATCGGCTCCACGATCATCTGGTCATGCTGAGGAGGACCGCCAATGTCGATGTCGCTGAAGGAAGGAAGAGTGCCAAAACTTGAGAGGTGAGCAGAGGTGAGTGTCAAACGCTTGTGCTCACTTGCCAGCACTGTGCCTCCTGTGTACTACAATGTACAGTACCAGGCTATGCAATGCAATGCTACACTATGCTGTACCATGGTATAGTATCCTGCAGTATACGTATCATGTCATACAGTTTAGCATAGTATCATGTAGTGTATCCCATGTTGTTTTCTTGCACTATATTGCGTAAAAGTGTAACTGTGTTACGCCATGTAATTTTTGTATTGCATTATATTAAGATTTATATGTACATTATATCATACTGTCTTATATTATGTTGTATCATCCTTGTAGTAGGTTACACTATGTTTTGTATGTCATATTGTACTGTCTTTTCCTACGGTAGTGTACCATGTGATACAATACTCTATAGTAGTAACGTAGGCACTATGTTGTTTTTTGTAGAAGTATAAGGTATTCTACTGACATCAATTATATCAGTTTTAGTATTGACACCAACAATAAAGTTAATACCCGTATTAATATTGAAGGAATATTGATATAACTATGAATATTCCACAATTTCATCTGATAGCCCTTGTGTTTAATTACATTATCCCATATTCCATATTGCTATCTTGTGCCATATTGCATCGTATTGTGTTGTATTGCACTGCATTGCGCTTTTACATCATTATGTTACATCATATCACACCATTGTATAACATACCAGTTCACACCGTACTCTGCCAGAGTATGTTGCATCACAAGTCATAGTTTCTAGGGTGCTTGATGCTAGCCTGCACTACGAGAGAACATGTGATGGTGCTTTAGATTCGATAGATTGCATCATGTTGTTTGCAGCATCTTCATCCTGCTGTATTGTTCTGTTTTGTCTAATGCTGTTCTAAGCTACTTTATGCTAGGCTGGTTCAGGCTTTGCCAACTATGATTGCCTGTCTTGTCTATCTGTCTGCTTCCTGCTTGCCAGCCTGTTTGGCTGGTGGGCTGGCGGGCTCGCATGTATGTATTTCCCGTGCATGTGCAACTCCGGAAGGTTGGATGATGTGTGTTTGGAGAAGTACTGAAGCCAAAAGAAAAGCACTGTAGCACTGAAGTGTTGGATTGCACCAAACAATGAGGACGATGGCATCGAGCTGTCGATGGAGCACCTGCCTAGCCAAGCCAGTGGCCGCGCAGCCGAGGCACAATCTTCCCTAACGCTGATTCAACTCTGACTCTGTTTAGGGTTTAGGGCATTTAGGGTTTGTGCTTCTATTGGTGTGCGCTGTTAGGTGACCTTTGCCGTGGGTGGATTCGCGGCCACAGCGTCCCCGGCGGAGCCTGCAGAACCGATGAATCGCCACCAGGAAGGGTGCCACACATGCTCGTAGAGCGAGTTTGTATCCTGGAGGGAAATAGGATAGGACCTACGAAGGTAAAAGCTGCAGGGCCGAGACTTTTTGCCTTGAATCTCGTCTTCGATGACGACATGCTGCATTCTACGAGCCTTCGCAATGCAAGGAGGATACGGCGAGGTCAAATGCCGTGGATGAAATGTTCGCGGACATCCTCGGTCCCATCGACGAGGAACCCGTCTTGGTAGGATTGGAATCGCCCGGAGTTGGGGATCACCGCTCTCCTTTTGCTCACAACATCACTACGCATGTCTGCAATCACCTCACCGTCTCGACATGAATCCCAAGCAATGCCTCGCAGGCACCGGCGCCGGTGTCTCGGACGAATGAAGCCGGCACCTCATGATTGTCAGTGTGTTCAACCGTTGGCAAAAACCGTTGCTGCAACGAGATCCTCATGACCTTATGGACCCCGAATTGTCTGAATTGTGGTAGCTTAGTCTCGTAGTCGTGCAAGGCTTGTAGTATCAGGTGCAAACGGTAGCAGTAGCAACAACAACACCAGCGCAACAACCACGACAAACACAACCACAATCACATCTGGAATCACAATGACAACCACAACAGCCACAGCAACAGCAACAGCAGCAGCAGCAGCAGCAGCAGCAGCAGCAGCAGCAGCAGCAGCAGCAGCAGCAGCAACAGCAACAGCAACAGCAACAGCAACAGCAACAGCAACAGCAACAGCAACAGCAACAGCAACAGCAACAGCAACAGCAACAGCAACAGCAACAGCAACAGCAACAGCAACAGCAACAGCAACAGCAACAACAGCAGCAACAGCAACAACAAAGAAGCACGTGCGTCTGCCGCCGCGCGCGGTGTGTCGTGTAAATTTTGGAGGTTTTTTGGTGAAAAGCTTGAAAACCTCGAGTGTTGTGTGGTTTTCATCAAGAAGACGATGTCTCGGAGTGTTTTTCCATAGTAGTTTGCTCTTGTTTTTTGGTGAGGTTTTTTGGCGCAAATACCATGCTTTTCGTCTTTTATGTCTGTTGATGTTTGGGTCCGTCGCGAAGAGCCTAGAAAGCATGAGTGTTTTTTGTTTTGGTGGCGTCTTACAAGTAACGTAACAACCAGGGCAACGGGGAGCAACATTGTCATTGTCATTGTTATTATCGTAGCTATCGTCATCGCGATTGTAATCTTCCGCATAAGCAATCGACATCATGCAAAACAACATCAACATCATCAACATTC